CACCCTTCAACCCTGGCCATAGGCTTTGGGACGGGATTGGGTTTAGACATGACGGAATCCTTCCCTGGGATTTTATGAGTTGAGAACAAGGCAAGAGGCCACCTCTTGGGTGATGAGGCTGTGAGATGGGAACACAGGAGCTGCCTTCTGCCACTGTAGTAAGAAGTGGGTCTGCAGTCAAAGTTTAAGTTCAAAAAGAGTTGCAGGAGACAGAGAGAGAGAGTCCTGGAGAAGATTCGTCCCTGGGTTCAGTTGTGCCTAAGCCAGCTCACCTCATAGTTGAGTGCCATGAGCCAATAAATCTTACGTTTGCCCCAGCTGGTTCCTGTTGTGTTGCTGAACCCTGGCACCACCAGAGTCTTTGTCTTGGATGGGGTGGGACACAGACACTACTGTCCTTTTTGTCTCCTCATCCCTTGTCCCTCGGATCCAAACCATGAAGTACTGGGGAGTGTATTCCCAACCTGCTGGTTCATGCCTGAATAGATCCCAGACCCAGCTTCGAGTCAGCTGCAATTAATCTGTATTATTATTTAAATAGTGGCTGCAACGGTAGGCTCAGGTATGGCAAGGATTGTGAGGCTGGCACAGGAGCGGGCAGTGTTTCCTTCTGTGGTATGTAGGGTTGCTATGAGTCAGAGCCAACTTGATGGCACCTTAACAACAACAACAACATTTAAATACCATCGGGCTCAAATGCCGACTTGCATTGTAGTATATGAAAATTCTCCCTCCTAGACTGTGAGCTCTGGCAGGCAGAGACTGGCCACTTCTCAGTTGTGTGACCTTGGGCAAGTTTTCTTATTTCTAAAACAAGGAAGCTAACAGTATCTACCTCAGAGGGCACTTGGGGAAATTAAATGAGCTAATCTATATAAAGGGATTATATAGATTTGTGTTGGGGAGTTCAGGGTTTGCACAGGTTGGGCACCAAGTGGACTCTCTCTAGAAATGTGCATCGGGTAAATGATGAGAGAGAGAGAGACCCAGCCTTTGGTGGGTATGCCCTGCTCCAGAGGGAACATGCAGGCACATGTGTCTCTCACTCTGATACACACACACACACACACACACACACACGGGTGCATGCACATAGGCAAAGAAGCTCCCAGATTTCAGTGCCCTGCCCGACAGCCCACTTGGGTGCCCTGGGCATTCCCAGCCCCTGGCTTCTCTGGAGGGCAGCCTGCAGCTCTCAGAGGCTCTGAACTGTCATCCCAGCAGCTCCACGTTGCTGGGTGAGCGGCTTGGAGCCTGGCTGAGCCCTACACCTTGTATCAAGGGCAGCAGGACCTGTGCCGTCTCAGGAGCTGGAGGATGTGCGTATGAGAGAGGGAGAGGGTGGTTAACCTGCAGGGCCTTGCCAGGAGCTACCATTCTCAGGAAGCTCCCCCTCACTGCTCTTTGGGGTGTCCCCCACCTCCTCAAGGAGCAGCCCCAAGTCCTGCAGGGTGGGGGCCGCTCTTGTGGGGTTTGGGTCCTTCTTTTAGTTTTGCCAGCATCCTTGAGGTCAGGCATCCTATATCCCGGGACCCAACATCGCTCTCTGTTGTGCTGCGTACAAGAGCATCAGTCTCCCTCATGTTGTGTGCTGTGTTAGCGCCCCGGGGGTTTTGAGTGGAGGGAGGATACCGCTTGGAGTGCTGTGTCTCTGGGACAGTGTGTTTGGCCCGGTGTGGTCCGCCGTGTGGCGCGCAGGGTAGTATGGGACTGTAAGGGTGTATTACTGTGTTGTGTGGAGTGGCTCTCTGGGGGATGTAAATTGCCATTGGGATTTGTTGGGGGTCACGGGCGTATTTTGGTCACCGCATTGACCCTCTGTGTGCCTGCCCAAGGTCCCTGGGCCCAGATAGGGGGCGTGGGGACAACACTTCTCCTCCGCGTGCTCCTAGAGTCCTCTATCCCCGTGCCTCGGGTTCACGCGATCTCGACCCCGACATGCCTGAGTCTCTTGGCGCAGCTCAAGCTCAGAAAACCTGGCGGAAGGGAGGAGAACACTGGTTCAGGGTCCAGATGAGTTCAGAGCTCTCATCTCGGAGTTCACGACCTACACGCCTTTGCCATGGGGATCCCAGGGACCTGCAGGGACTTCTCACGCCCCGTAGTCTGTCCCTTCTCAAGCCCAGCTCCACGATCCCAACAAAGGCGGTAGACCACGTGCCCCTCCTCGACGAGGGCCAGGAGTGCGGACGCAAGCTATCGCGGGGCCCCGCCTCAGCCAGGGTTGGGACCGGACGCGGCTCTGAGCCCCTGGTGGGCTGAGAGCAGCTCCCAGCAGCCCGGCCGCCCCCGGCTGTGCCTCGCCCACTCCCAGCCGCAACCTCTGCAGAGCCCTCGAAGCGGCGCTAGGGGGAGCTCTGGCAACTGGCTTGGTGGATGGAACCAAAACCGTGCATCAAACACCTATTTCCTTGGACTTGCAAGGAAAAAATGGGGAGCGGGTAGACGCACTGTAACCCCTCCCCAGCAGCTCTGCACTTCTCCCCTGGGAGGCCGAAATAACAGCCCTAGGGGTGTGTGTGTGTGTGTGTGTGTGTGTGAAGGTGTCTGTCTTCTCCATAACGCACGCCTCCAGAGCCTCCCTCGTCCCCCACCCCAACGCGGACCTTCGCAACCCCTCGCGCTCCGGAGAACTTCGCCTCGCGCGACACTGGGCCCCAGAACCGCGCAGGCCTCTAAGACTAGCTGGCATCCCCCTCTCAGATTCTAGGATGGGAGACTCTCGGGCCGCAGCCTCTCCTCTCTCTGCGGGAGGCGTGAAGGCTGGGGTGGGGAGCATGAGAGGTCTTGCAAGCTCCCGCATCAAGGAGGAGGGCAGGGGCAAGATGGAGTGAGCCTCGGGGAGACAGCCAGAGACAGACAGACACCGAGAGAGCCAGTATCAAAAAACAGGAAGATGCGCTTTGCTTTCCGCCCCCCCCCCATTCCCTCTTTGCAAAGCTTGAACCACCCAGCGCGCCCCCGGGCCCGAGCCGCGGCTCCAGATGTGAATTTGGTTCCAGTGGGGAAAAGGCGAGCTTTCTCGGGGCCCTTGGCACATTCTCCCACTCTGAGGTCATTCCGTAGGTGGTCAGAGCGGAGAGCGCGCCTGAAGCCTTCCTGCTTCCATCCACTGGGGAGGAAAAAGAGGGAGGGAGGGAGGGAGAGGGGAGGGGCGCGAGGAGGGAGGGAGACGCCGCCAGCACACCACCAAGTGGCACCGAGCAGTGATAACAAACTCAACTTAAAAAAAAAAAAAAAAGGAAAAGGAAAAACTTCCCCAAGTTGCAGCTCTCTAGACGTGCGGACGTGAGGACACCGGCGCGGGGTGGGGAGTGTGGGTGGCCCAGCAGCCCCCCGGCGTTTCTCCACTGCTCCCCCTCGTCATGGCGAGCTCAGATTCGGAGCCGACCAGACCCTGCGCCCCTGGGTGGGCAAGAAATCTGCTGAAGGCTAGTTTAGCTTCCTGCTGCAGACCCTGGGGTGGCCCGTTCCTGTGGGGGCAGGTCCCGCGGACGGGAAGGGGTACTAGAGGCGCGTGACACCGGCATCATCCCCAGGTTTTTCCACCCCTTGCCCCCCTCCCCTGCCATGCGGATGTGGGCAGATTCCTCCCGCCCAAGCCTAGTCTGAGAGCTGGGGTTTGCGTGGGGGTGTGTGTCTCTCCCCACCTCATCTATCCTCTCTACACCCCCAGGCCGCTCTGAAAACAAGGCACCATCATCTTCTATAATTGACTTTTTATTAAGATTATAAATTTAAACAAATAATCTGAACAGTTTTACCCGGTGATATACAATTCAGTATGCACAAAAATACAGGGGAATGAGGGAGAAGGGCCGGGGAAGGATGGGTTGGCAACTTGTTTTGGAGTACACATGGTGCTTATGGCAGAAACCCAGGGGGGTTGTAGACGAACCCGACCTTTTTACAACAAAAGGCTTTTAAATTAAACAAAATCTATCGAGCTGAAGACATAGAACGAGTTTCTCATAGGCTCAAACAATGCTGGTTTCATGAAAAGCAACCGAAGGCTGAACCAGTGCAGTGTAACTTAGAAGCACACACACAAACACACCACGTCTGACCAGGAACTTAGTGAAAAGTCTCCAACGCAGTCGGCGGTCCCGGCCCCTCCCTCCCCCGGGGCCGCGGGGATCCAGGTGAAGGAATCGACTTCCTTTTTTGTTTAGTGAGGACCGCAGTGCTGGGCATGATGGGAAATGTAGTCCGCCGTGCCCGCCCCCCACCCCTTCCCCAAACTGTGTCTGTGAGTGTCGGGGTGTCGGACGCCACCCCCGAGTCCAGGAGACGGGTGGGGGAGGGGAAGACCACAGAGCCAGAGGGGCGGAGAACGGAGAGATTCAAGACACCCGCCCCAGGAAGGAAAAAAAAAAAAAAAGTTGAAGTGTTTTCATTTCTGCCTTCTCATTTTGAGAACTTTGGAGGCCGCCCCTAAAGAGGGAATGTGACCCAAACGTCCCTTTAGGAGATAGTTTGCCTTTGTTTTTACTCAGTATTTCACAAGACCATCCTTCACCCCTCGGAAGGTCTAAGGAGAACCGAGCGCCCGGCTTCCTGGGTCTGACAACTGATTAGAATTGGCGTCCCCAGCCCCGCGCCCTCCTGCGCTGCGCCCCCGGCGCGCCCCGGCGGCCTGAGTGTCCTGCCTCGCCCCCAGCTGCCCGGCACCTCCTCCGGGCACAGCTCTCCCTCACGTGGCTGGCTCCTCGCTAACCACCACTGCAATCACTACAATAAAAAGAAAAAAAAGAGTAGGAGAAACACAAAGCATACTTAAATAGGCGTATTTCTCTCTGCAAAAATAAAGTCCAAGATCTTAGATTTCTTTTTTTTTTTTTATTTTACAATTTATAAAACATCAGTCGCCTCCCACTGCTCGCCCCCAGGACAACCCCGAGTGCTCCGGCGTCCGCGCACTCCCTTCTCTCGCCCCTTGCCCAAGTCTTTGTTTGGCCCCAGCCCCGCGGGGCCCCGGGGCCCCGCGCCTTCGGGGGTCCCTAGAAGGCGACAATGGCTCGAGTCCAGGCGCCGAGACTGGCGAGCGCCTGCTTGGCGCACAGCTGCCCGTTGAGCGGCGGCGGCTGCTCCGAGGAGTCCGGCTGTCGGCTCACCAGCCCGGAGAAGCCCGAGCCAAAGATGGAGATCAAGTTTGAGATGTTGGACGCGTCCGGGGACGCGTCCGGGCAGAAGTCCTCGAAGCGGGCGCGCTTGCAGGGGGCGAACGGGGCGCCCCCGGGGGGCTCGGCTCCCAGCTCGCCCGCGTCCTCCTCTTCGTCGTCGTCCTCCTCCTGGCCCGGGTAATACTTGCGCTTGCAGCCGGCGGTGGGCGCCAGGCCCGGTCCCGGGGCGCCCTGGCCACAACAGGGGCAGTGGGCGGAGGCGCAGCAGTCCTGGTGCAAGTAGCCGTTCTCCACCGTGGTCACCACGTGAGTGTCCAGGTCCAGCACGGTGGTCTGGCTGCTGCAATGTACGCCGAAGTCCGAGGGGGCCGGGTACGCGCCCCGGTAGAAGCCGGGGGAGGAGGAGGGGGTCGGGGAGGCGGGCAGGGAGGTGGTGGCCGGAGGGGCGGCCCCTGGGGGCGCGGAGGGTGAGG